CAGTGCAGTACTAATCTTCCCAGTACTGCCGAACAAGACTGCGGCAGAAGTTTCAAAAATAGGAAACCTATAGGAGAGGTTGGTTGTTGTGAATCACATGTGGCAGCTACCACTACCACTACCACTACCACTACTACTACTACTACTTCTACTACTACTACTACTACTATTATTATTATTACTTCTACTACTACTCCTACTACTGCTGCTGCTGCTGCTACTACTACTACTGCTACTATTAATTATCACTAGCACTACTGCTGCTGCTACTACTACTACTACAGCTGCTACTACTACTACGACGACTACTACTACTACTACTCCTCCTCCTCCTACTCCTACTCCTACTCCTACTCCTACTCCTCCTCCTCCTCCTACTACTACTACTACTATTATTGCTTCTACTACTACTCCTACTACCACTACTACTACTGCTGCTGCTGCTACTACTACTACTATTACTACTACTACTACTACTCCTACTACCACTACTACTGCTACTGCTACTGCTGCTACTACTACTACAACTACATCTACAACTACATCTACCACTACTACATTACACAACACTACACTACACTAATTACATTACACTACAACTACAACTGCACTACTTCACACACACTACACTACAACTACAACTACAACTGCAACTGCAACTGCAACTACACTAAGCACACTACATTACAGCTACAGCTCCATTACACCACAACTACAACTACAACTGCACTGAAGTGACCGCTGCAACCATTGCAACCATTCCAAAAACACAACTAGCAGTAGCGATAGTAGTAGTGCGTAGTAGTGCGTAGTAGTGAGTAGTAGTGAGTAGTAGTGAGTACTAGTACTAGTACTAGTACTAGTACTAGTACTAGTACTAGTAGTAGTAGTAGTAGTACTAGTACTAGTACTAGTACTAGTACTAGTACTAGTAGTAGTAGTAGTAGTAGTAGCAGTAGTAGTAGCAGTAGTAGTAGTAATAGTGGTAGTAGCAGCAGCAGCAGCAGTAGTAGTAGTGGTAGTAGGAGTAGTAGTAGTAGTAGTAATAGTAGTAGCAGCAGCAGCAGTAGTAGTAGTAGTAGCAGTAGTACTAATAATTAATAATAGTAGTAGTAGTAGTAGCAGTAGCAGCAGCAGTAGTAGCAGTAGGTAGTAGGTAGTAGGCAGTAGGTAGTAGATAGTAGGTAGTAGGTAGTAGGTACTAGGTGTTTGACTTGTAAACTTCCTTCGATCATACCTTATCATATCTAATCAAATCTGATTTTATCGTATATAGTACATAGTCACAGTTAGTCATAAATCATAAACTAGTCATATCTACCTATCGATGCTAACGGGAGTCTGTGCCAGCTCCTGGCGTCTTTGTTGCCGTCTCATCATCACCTGCCGGCAGACCATGGCTACCAGCGTCCTTCCGTTCAAGCACCCAGAATAGAACAAGTCCAAAGATCTGCTCGAAAATAACCCGTAGAAATCCAGTAACAGATCTAGTACCTGATTCTTCACGGGGCCTTGTTCCAAGTTCTAGACTCATCAAAATGCCTAAAATAAACCCAGGTTCCACCTGTTCCTGCCGCTCTTCCCAAGAGAGTGACCGAGAAGCAGAGGTGTCGGGCCACCTTGGACGCTGGATGCTTTGAAAAACAGCCATCTGTTGCTCCTAACAGAAGGTATGATCCTATCTTGATAGAATTTTCGTTTTGGTCAATATCTTGAACGGGATAAATTTGGGGTTCCACAATCTGGAAACAAAACCCATCGCAGCTAACCCGGGGTCTCCGACCGTTTTTTTTCGGGTTCCGAGCGCTTCAGGCGATCCTTCAGCTCCCGTTGTCGGCGGTGCTGCAGCATGGTGTCCACCGTGACGGACTCGGCCAAGGGCCGTGGGTGTCTGAGAATTGTGGGGAAAGCTCGGGTTTTATGATCATTCTTCAGGTTGTATCCTGATTAGTAGCTGCGTTGGCTATTGCGGCTAGAAATCTCCAAATTCTTATCAGCACCCCTGATTACTTGTCCGGGTTCGATATTGTGGAAGAAGTTTTGGCTGACCCATTTTTCCTCAAATGATAAATGCTTGTGTGGGAAAAATAGATTTCGCATTCTTTATGGAAAAAATCGTGCTTGCCTACCTTTCCAAAAAAAACTCTTATTAAACAATGATTAAAGAACAGTTTTTCCATGACTACCTCCTAAAGCATCTCCAGAGTGGTCCCCCACCTCAATTAATAAAAGTATTAATCCAAGGGTCCTTGCTGCTTCGAAATACCTCCATGAATTTGCTTGTCAGCACTAATAACCCCCCACCTGGACATAATAAATGGATTTAAACGGTACTTTCACCCACCTAGATTAATTTCAGGCAAAACAATTCAAGAGTGGGAATACTACCATTTTTCTTTGCACAGGTGGACCCCAAATAATGTCTTCTAATTCATGCCAAAAAAACACTATCCTCTTCTCATTCAAGATGAAGGTGGGGGTATGTTATTTTGCGCAGAAATCGGGTCTACAGAATACAAGCAATCCAAAAAGGTGCGCCCAAATGCACTACAAAATTGAAATCTATTGGAACCCAAAATGGCTACTCACTACTCGCTACAAATTAGAAAAATTGATCATTGAAAACTACCAAAAAAAGTTTTGTACAAAAATGCGCCTTCCAGGTCTCGTCTTAATCCAATGTTTTGGAACTTTTTTTTTGAATGATTGTTGTTTTCAAATGTTTTGGAAACTGTCCCTTTCCATGTTGTGATGATCATTTTCCGTGTCCTGATTCCGCCTTACTGCGCTCTCTTTATGTAAATAAATCACGGGCCTCAAATCATTGGCGCCCCCTTCTTCGGCACTGCTCAAAATTAATTTGGGGGTGGGTGTACTAGGTGTGTGAGGCGCACGTGTTTTACGCGCTTTCACACGTTTGTTTTTTTGGCTGGAGCCGATTTGCAGCAGTTGGAGAGGAACATTGAAAGTTGTTGTGCAGAACAATTTGTGTGCTGAACTGTTAGATTCAAAAGGTGGCTTTCTGCACTGGGACTTCCCTATCTTGCAAACAACATCTGCACATGTGCCTTGCCAAATCATTATGTAACAATGTAGGTCTTTGGCCCCCGCATTTAACAATGAACGCTTGTTTTCAAGCAATTGACTTGAACACAAGGTCGAATTCGAATGCCCTTAAATATCTTAAATGATCCATCCAGTTCCAATTCTAACCAAGTATATAAGGTTGCAATTCAAGCAAGAACGAGCGCGCGGTCGTGAATCTCTTTTTCGCCTCTCAGGCGGATGGTCGTCGCCGAGGCCGGAGAATTGAAGAATTGCACCTGGCAGCATGAATCGCTTCTCAGTTCAGACTTTTACAACTTTTGCTCTTATATAACACACGGAGACGTTTGCCACCCTGCCTCCCAAGTGTCGTTCAAAGTACGCAGGGCTTACATCTTCAAATGATGCCTCTGCAGCGCACGGCGACGCAAGTGCAAGCAACTGTCCCGTTATACTTTTCAGCGTTTCCTCTGTTTGGCTTTTCGACAAAGGCCTAGGTTTCCCGACCTGCTGACGAAAAGCAATCTATTGGGCGAGGTCCGCTACCTGCCAGCTATAACAAACCGAGAATTGAAAGCACGGAAATCAGTAACTTGAGCTGTCCAGGCCTGCTTCATGAGGTCTTGTCTGTGAGCAGGAAGTGTAAGGACCTGTCACTGCAAATAGTCTGTGGGAAGCCAACTTGACTCCCTCAGATCTTGCAAACATATGCAACCAGCACGTCAGCACGACTGGCCTCTGCAGCGGCTTGCTGTGATGCCCACTGCACGTCCTCCGCGGTGACTTCAAATGCCTGCCGGAAGCCATCTCAGGGAGGAGTGTGCAGTTCGCTGCATCGCTGGCTCGTTGCTATTTATGGTTTTCGCAGTTGCAACCGAGCGGCAATAGCACCGCGAAGGACCGCTTCATCGACTGGGCCCGTTAAATACTCATGGGCCCAGTCGGTAAAGCGCTCGGCTCTGGCCCAGATGTTCCAATCACATCTGGACCAGGAGCCGTGTTGGTCATACCCCCAATCCTGGAAGACAGTGACAAATTGAATGCACTGTTGTTTTGCATTGCTGTTCTTGTTTCATCTGATTCCCCGTCCGTCCTCCTTCAAATGCCACATGCGAATCGTGGGTGGGAGGATGGTGATAACCCGGTGGTCGCCTGCGCACAGACGCCCAACGTGATTGCAATTCACAAGTGCATGATAGCAAGTATAGTTGCCAGGCCTGGCTGTGCCTGCGCCACGGCAAACCAAAAGGCCACCAGTGGCGAGGCTGACCACGACAGCCACGGGGAATCCTGCAGATATGAAATTTGAATGTTGCCTTCTTGCAATCAGGAAAATTTGCTGAGGCAGCGACACGGGGGTTCTCCGCGACATGCTGCCAAATGGCTTTGGCGGCCGCGCCCTTCGGAGCCAAGCAAAACTTGAGCTCCGCGGCACCCCGAAAGAGGCAACCTGCAACACGGTGCCGTTTGCATTTATGTGACTGTGCCCTTTTGGTTTCGTCTATTGAATAAATTGTTGATCAAATGCCCGGCCTTTCGGGTAGTGCCTTCCCGAGAAGCGGCCGCCAATCGTGTAGGGTACAGCAGCAGCCTGGAATCACGACGTGTTGTTCCGCAATTACTTAGTTGGCAACTCGTATATATAACAAGAGTCTTTACACACAATATACCTTGCTGAGGTAGGTGCGGAGCACGCGTCCTCCATCACGATATCCTCCATCTCACCGGTCAAAATGATGTTGGAGGCCTCATCGAACGTGTGCTTGGTTGTGAAAGCATTGCGCCGATCACCGGCAAGCGCTTTTTGCTCAGGCTGGGACTGCCATTGAAGGACCTGAATAGGGAGCGGCTTTCAATCCGGCATGGAAAACAATGTAAAACAACCATAATTAACATTTGGGGTACTCAAGGCTAGGCGTCTCTGAGCTGGGGAAGGCAACAAGGACACACAATGGGGAAGATACAACAGGTGAGCAATGCCCAACATGGGGGAACACAACGGGGAACAACAAGAGGGGAACAACACCGAGACGCCACAACGGGTGAGACAAGAAATGGAAATTAGGGAAAAAAATGATTTTGAAAATATTATATGGTAGAACAGGCAAATTCTTTGAACAAAAATTATCTTTAAAAACAAATAAAAAAGAAACAAATAGATATATATATATATATATATGTATGTATGTATGTTTGTATGTATATATTCTATCAAAATAGTTGAAAGTTAGCTTTGGAACTTTGGATGTGGCAAGTTGCAGGCAGACACAGAGGAAGCGCAGCAGCCATGCAGCAGTCAGGGCCCTAGTTGTTGTCATTCACCCCGTTTTAGTTTGCATTTAGTATGTTCCAAAAAAGGCATCGAAAGTCAGCGTGGACAGACAATGTTCAGATGTCTGACCCGAAACCTGGGAGGCTTGCAAGCAATCGACTTTTTTCTTTACCATAGTCATCCTCCTACAATGGCTTGCCGTCACTCTCTATGGCATCCATTTACTAAAACGAAGACAAACGAACAATACAATTACCCCCTCGCCTTCTTTGTGGGTTGAACAAGAAGCTCTGGCATAGGCCCGCAGGGGCAAATGCTTGACGGCTCGTGGTTCTGGCAAATCAGACATAAAAATGTCTCCACCTTGTCCAAGGCACTGGACCTTGAGAAGGTCCAATTCACTTTAGTAGGTTTGTTCCCAGCGTTCACAGTTGTAGCAAACTTTTCCAGAGCTGATCCTGGAGCCAGGAGAAGAAAGAAAAGCCTTTTACAAAAGCGCCATTCTCTGTCTTTATTCTTCTCTTTCTTTCTCTTTCTCTTTCTCTTTCTCTTTCTCATTCTCTTCCTCATTCTCTTCCTCTTCCTTTTCCTTTTCCTTTTCCTTTTTCTCTCTTTCTCTCTCTCTCTCTCTCTCTTTTTCTTTCTCTTTCTCTTTCTCGTTCTCTTTCTTTCCCTTTTTACACCTTAATTAAAAACTTGAGGTGCAAAAATAACGCAATCGACATGCTGAACCCCACTCGCTACAAGTGCTACAAATACTACAAGTTCATCAGCGAAACAAAAGTTTCAATCCGATTTCAATTGTCGCCAACTGCCAACTAAAATCCTTACTAAAATGTAGGACTGTGTCATATCTGGGGGACTTTTTAAAAATCAACTTTAAAGAGAGTACAGCATTTATTTGGGGGATGGGGGAGGGCCCACACAAATCAGGACGGAACATTATACGAAAATGATAGGAAATCATGGGGAAATCTACCAAAATTGATGACTTATCAGAATGTAAACCCTCAATTTTCCCCACAACAATTGCCAGAACTGAAGGGTCAATCCCCATTTTCAATCACGATCCACTGGTGAACTGGGCGCAGGACCTCTCCCAGCCTCGGTGGTTTCACCCCAATCAAGCACAAAGCGCTGGGTTCAACGGACAAAACCACGGGAAACACGACCAGAAACCATGGTCTCTACCCCCACATGTAAGATAGTATAAGATAGTAATGAATAAATTGGGATAAATACTGTGTTGTAAAACATGGACAATTAATTATGGATATCTTGACCGCGATGTTTTCCTTCAGCCTGCTCTATGATGGAGATTGCTATGTGCTGTGAACGCCCTGGTGAGGACTACAATGGAATAATCCCAGCCTCGTTCAAGGAGTCAAGTTCAACTGTCTTCCCACTCATGACAGAATCATCGTGTTAGACGGAAGGTATGGTATTTCCAATCATATCATATGACATTGCCATGAAACAGTTGGCCTCATCCCCACTGAAATGAAAATTAATTACCTTACAACCTCCTCACATTCAGAAAATGCTGTAGCCCATTCATCAACGCATCAATTCATCATGATTTATCCAATTTATCCCATATATTCCTGCTATATTCCTGTTATATCACAATGATGGTCGGTCCATGTTGGTTATCACTCCGCACTTTGACCCCCCCCACCTAGGAGCCTTCGGATCCGGAGCTCCAGACAGTTCACAACTGCTCTGCAGCGCTCCGATGTTTACCAACTCGTAGTGCTCTAAGCCATGGAGTCCCTGCACCTGGCCCCCCCTGTCATTGAAGTGGATTTAGCTTCGGAAAATGCGTTACAGGAAATCCCGTGATTTTTTTGACAACATCAATGTGTATCATGTATAAGCTATTTATATATACATATATATATATATGTTGATTGCCAGTACAGCTGCAGCGGTCGCAGCTAAAGCAGCTATTTCTCCATACTCCCCGGACAAGTCTGCGTTGATGCTGGTCACATGCATCACCAAAAAGATGCCAAGCGCCAAATGCCTCACACATGTAGAGCTCCACAACAGACATATAGTGATGAGCCAGCAGCAAGCAGCCGTAGCAGCCATCCACTCTCGCCCAAGCCAGCCAGACGAAGCGAGGCGCTCTCCCGCAAGGACTTAGGAGTTGCGCGTTTTGCGATGGTCTGGGGATCCATAGCCAGCTGCAGGAAGAAAAGGGAGAATTTTGGCAGCCGACGAGAGGGCTTTTCGTGCTTGAGGGTCAAGGCCAACAAGGGCGTTCAAAGACGCAGTCAGTCAACATTATGTTCTGGATGGAAACACCGTGGCGGTACGCAGTAACTGCATAACCTCCTCTCAGCCCTCCAGGAGTAAGCGTGGCATCCTCAGGTATGGAGAGAGTGGCAAGCAGCAAGTTCCATCGCTTTCTGAACTGATATGGGCTAGTATCAAAAACAGCTCATCCTTGTCCAGGTTTAGGAAAACCAACTTCAGCAGCTTCCAATAAGTGGTTACATCGACCAGATGCAAGTGTTGCACATTTGCAGAGTTACGATGCTTTGTCTTGAACTGCCGCAGCCGTAGAAACACAGGAAAGTCGCCCTCTTCAGCAAGGTCAGAGGGTAAAAGGAGATCTTCTCGTGCGCACCTGAGAACTTCACCAACACGAGCTCCAGGTTTCCCACCTTGCCCTGTATCGACAGGCCCAGGGTTCGAAGCTTCTCCTACCCGCATACAGGCAGCGCGGCAGCAACCAGCAATGTTGAGCCTGTCCTCATGCATTGCTTTTGCCAGCAACCGTGAAACCCCACGCGGGTAAGGCTCAGCCAATTTGGCCCATGCCTTTCCATGCTGTTTGCAGTAACCTACCGGAGCACTGCAGAAGCCTAACGCCCTGCAACTTTGTGTTGGTGCCAAATCTGGTGTTCTTGCGCCATCTGGTACCAAATCTGCAAAAAGCAAGACGGCAAACTGCAGAGCTGGCAGGTGAGGCAAAACGTTCCCACCCTTTCAAAAGCCATAAAGGAGGTATGATGGTTTTCAACCCAAAAAGGGATGAGTCGCTCCCAGCAGAAATGCCACATCTCGTGTGCCAAGTCTGCCAGCGCATTCCCCTGCTTAACCTTCTTGAACACGACTTGAGTCAAACCAGCTGTCCCTTGGAAACCTGCGGCTCCTCACAGCAGGTGTAACCGCCCTATAGAAAGAACAGCAAACGGGCGCCATACCGACACCGTCAAAGGCTTCAAGCTCCAGCAATTCCATGATGCACGCTTTGTTCTTGGGGATCAGAATCCTCATCGGCAGAGTGGTGGATCTCGAAAGTCAGCACACAAGGGCATCCGCACTTCACCATGTCGCGTGCCACCCCATAAGAACCAGAAAACAGATCCAACGCCCCCCGAAGGCTAAGGTCAAGCTCACCGGTCTGAGGAAAAAACTGACTTCTAGGGCACTGCCGCAGGATCTCAGCTCTCTTACCGACTCTTACCCACCTTTTTCTCAAGCCTGCTATCTGCCCCCAAAGGGCTGGAAGCCCCAGCAGACACTCGGGGAGCATTCGCTGGGCTCACAAACTGGCGCAGGCATTTCGTCATTCACTTCTTGGTGCTTTTTTCTTACTGCTGCGCTTTCTGGACAGAGCCGGGGCCATGTCTTGTATCATCTCCAAGAACTTCAACAAAGGGCATCGGCCTGATGGCATGAAAGTCAGAAGCTGACTAAGAAAGCCACCGATCCATCATAGAAAGCTTGCCACTCAGTGCATCCCACCATGCCGACAAAGCCAAGTCAGGCTCAGGAGGCTCATCATCACGTGATGGCCCATCCGCCGGGTTCATAAAATAAGGAAAAACCATGTAGAAGTGGTAGAGGTCGTTGCCAATGCCATAGCCAAGGTTTTTGCTCGTCAAGCAAACTGCGGAAGCTCGTCCCTTTGTAATGGCTCCTAGCACCACCCGAGAATCTAGGCCAAAAGGGATGCATCCGGAAGCAACTTCTTGCCAGGCGCATTTCTTCCCGCAAGTGTGCCTTCATCTCCAATATGTTGATACGGACAGCTCGTTCCACCTTGGCCTTCCACATGGTCTTGAAGCGACAGCCTCTGGCACACAACTCCCACAAAGGGTGAACGGAGTACTCAAAGCCGTCCTCCATTTCATCCGAAGCTGCAAGGAGATCATGCTGCTTCTGCCAAGCTTTTCCAGGAGGCAACAAATGGACCAAGAACTGCGACGCAGGGAATGCTTACACAGCTCTTGAGTAAACTCGGAGGTGAGCTGGGCTGTCACTGCAGCGCCCTGACAGTGACGCATCAGTGGCTATCAGGAAAGGGGCAAATGCAGCCCGCAAGTTGACCATGGCCATGGGCGCCATGACCACGATGCTAATGATCTCGTTGACAAGCTCATCCGAAAGCCTGATCACTGTCTTCTGGTCCTGATGTCGAGCAAACAAAACAACCTTCTCCGAAGCCCATAGATTGCCTTCCAAGTGCCAGCAAGCGATTCCAGGAGCCCCACCGTGGCCAACCTTGACGTCGCAACGCGCAGGGTGATCATCATCGCCGGCCACAGTCGCGCATTGCAAGAGCGCATGACACCCTTCTCACCATCCAGGTCAATGCCCCAGAAAGAAGCTAAAGCACAGCATCCTCGAAGGCCTTCTTGGGGTTTGTCTCCAACCCAACCTCATCATAAACTTTCCTGGCATGAGCCGTTCGCCCGGCACCCCATGTTCTGACACCCTCGTTTCTCGCACGCTCCAACTCGGCATTCGAAATCTGCTCCAAAACCACCAAGTCATCTATGATGGTGAAGACCTCGTGGGATGGGGTTGTGCAAACACAGTAGCTGAAAGGAGTGGGCGACCCTGTGCAGGAGAATCATGCCTATGTGCGAACCCTGGGCAAACTCGCAGGCCATGCTATCACCCATGGCAAGAGCCCTACCCACACTTCATCCTCCGGCCATTGGAAGGACATGCCAAAGACATTCTTGGCCTCAGCTCCCGTCAGCGGCTCAGCCAGTTCCGCTTGGCTCTCTCAGACGACACCACAAACTGGCTAAAAAAAATCACGCGGATCCTCCCCACTCGCCAGCGGCACATGATGTGGCTTGAGCCACAGCATAGTCAAAGCAGTGGGACTTGCCATTGTTTGTGACCATAAGTTTTGGGGCTCCAACAAGTTAGCCGGTCGCCCATCAAGAACCATGCAGTCTCGCTGCAAGTCCTTGGTCACTGCAAAAAGGTCGGAGGAAAACGCTCCTCTCCTGCTATCCGCAAGTATAGGAACCAACCGGCCTGAATCGGCCAGCTTCTTGTTGACCTCGACTTTGTTGAAGCCGTCAGCAAAAACCTTCACCTTAGGCACTTCGCCGTCATACTGCGTGTGAAACCTTGCATGCCAAAGAGAATCGGAGAAACATAGCGCTCCAAAGAGCGCCGGTCAAAGTAACGCCCAGGGTCAAAACGCGGCTCCCCAGGAAAAGCCAGCCGTCCAGCGATGAGAGGCTTTGCTGTCACCACATTGGCCTTTGTAGAAGTCCCTGGGAGGACACCACATCGAAAGGGACGATCGAAACAAGCAGAGAGCAGCCAAAGAAAGCATTCTGCTCAACATGCAGGGCAGTAGCTGCCCGTGCCAAAACAGCTAGCGCCTCCTCAGAGCTTTCAAATTTGGAAGCAGCTCGGCCCATAGTCGCGGCATCCACCAATTGCCACCCTCCACTGCACAGCCGTCAGCTTTCTCCCAATGCGCAATTCTTCAGGGGCGCATGTGGGACTCCCCAAAGCCAACCAACTCATCACCACCACCTGTAGGGACACCAAGCGTTTAGCATCTGTTCTTGGGCGGCTCCGCAAAACCTCCAGAAAAGGGATAGCCATGGGCCATGCAGAGGGGCCTTGGGCATCTTCAGCATGGAACGCAAAAAAGAAGGCACGGCACCATTCATCTTGATGATCCACCTCGTCACCTCGGCATTGAACTAACAAAGGCAGCCACCTTCACAGTAGAAGCTCCTTCACTTGGCAACTTCCTCCCAGTTGGAGAAGCCACATTAGCTGCCTCACCATGCATAGCTTCATTGCGCTCTTGTCTCATGCGTCCGCCTCTGCGGACGCTTTGCTTTTGGGCTTGGCCTTTGGGCGGCGGCGAGAGCTGCTGTCGTCCTCGCTCTCCTCTTTCTTCGGCTTCCCCAAGGACCTCCGCTTGCTCTGAAAATCCTCTTGCTCCCTCAGGTGTGCCAAGGCTATCTCGCCCCACCCGCCATCCAACAGTCGAGGGTAAGGAGGCTCCTGCTTTGCCGGAGGCTCATGTTGCATCAAGCTGGTAAAGGGTGGAGGGTTCTCCACACTGGGCTCCGATGTCAAAAGTCCATGACCCCTTGTCGCACGCACTCTGGTCCAACTGCAAGAGGAGAATGTTCAATCTCGCACGGGCTGCCGCTATCTGCCCTCTGCGCAAGCAATCCGGAGCGCCAGCTGCTCCACAACTGGCATGTGCCAGAGTCCTGTAGTTGCCAATGCGAGACCTGTGCTCCAAACAAGCTCGGGCTGTAACCGCTGGGGTCGTGATGTGTGGCGGCAGCGTCTAGGACATGATTCATTTCTCCACCATGCCGTAAAGCTCTTCTGGGTGGTCCGTGAGCATTGAGCGAAGAGCCCTTCTTGCCGCTGCAGCGCGCTTGTGCTAGTTCCCACTGTCACTGAATCCGAGCTCAAACCAGCAGTGGCTTCCAGTGCCGTCTCGAGCTTGGACCCGCTGCGCTTCTTGCCAGTCGTGGCCTTCACAATGTCCGCCAAATGGACCACCGCTTGCTGAAGAGGATCTGCTGGTACTCCACAAACCAAGCCCAGGGGACCTTCCAGCTCCTGCACCTGCTCCTCCTCTTTGATGTCCGACAAAGGATCGGTGGCTATCTTGGTGTTCACGTCCAGGACCTTCTGCGCCGTCACACTCTTGGCCATCAGGCTTGCCACTTCGTCCAATGTGTCTGCTCCCACGCCCGCTTGCATCGCCGCTTCGGCCAAAGCTGGGAAGCAGATAAGGTGCCCACTTCCTCAGAGAGCTCCACCACTTGTTCTTGGACCCCACCGCTCACCGCTCTTGCATCAATCACAGGATCTTGTAGAGAGGACGTTCACGTCGCCGCTCGGGAGCCTCTGAACGACCCTTAGCATCAGTGAACCAAGA